CTTTATTTGCCGCATACGCAGTCAGACGGCTGTGAAGTAACATGCTTTTGTCAAACGTACCAGCACAAGGTGGCTGGCAGCCTTATTACTCCTGCTTATAACTGCTTTATATCGTAATTCAGAGGCATAGTGTGCTATTTCCGGACTGTTCCGGTTCCCTCTGTGCCTGGTGCTGATCTGCCTTGTGTTTCGAGCAGCTGGGGGTAGTAGGACCAGTCCTCCACATGCACATGACCAGTGGAGTTATGACCAGTCTCTCTTAACAATCAGTATACTGTCACTCTTTCCTGAACTGTGAGGTGGGATGTCAATAGTGTACCTATTTGAAACTGATGTTTAGGGGAATTGGGGGGGGTTCTTAATCTAAGCTGCGATTAATGTAGACTTCAGGCCACAGAGAAAAAATCTCAAGCTGGTTTGTTTTATTTCTTGCCTTCCGCAGACAAAGTGGATGTTTGGGGCTCTTACAGTAAGCTGATTAGGAGCTTATCGAAAGGTAGATGCTCTTTGAAGTGGGCACATGCTCTGATGGTGTGGTGTTCCTACGAGCTCCAGGGAAAGCTGAGCGAGTCTCTCAGTGCTGGTGTTTACTCAGGGGGGGGGCTTTTATCCATGCGGGGTGGTGGTATGGGGGAAGTCATGCATTCAGCCTGTTAATCGGTTAAGCTGTGAAGGGACTGAAGCAAGATTATCTAGACAGGGTTTAGCCCAGAGGCTGGGTAAGGTCCCATTTTTAATGAACTTGTAAAGTGCTAACTTCAGCTCTCCTCTGCGACACGCTATGAATCTGTGGATGTTCAACGCAACACTTTCTCTCGTAGTCCACTCCACCCCAAGCTGCTATCTTGGGTTTCCAAAGGGTGTCTTTCTGTTCTGATGTCAAACTCAGACACAGTGACGTTTTGTAGGTCCCTACATTTGCACGGCCTGTTATTTCATTCAGGGGTAGGAGGAGCAGCCTGGGGTCTGAGCAGCGACCTGGGGTCTGAGCAGCTTGTGTTGGCTGGTCTTTGTACCTGTTATGTTATGTGCCTGTGAGCAGTTCTACACCTCACACCTCACTATTGTCTCATTTTCTCAGCCTGTTTTTTTTTATATACATTTTTATATATATTTACATTTTTATATATATACATACACAAAAAATTAGGAATGATAAAATCTGCTAAAAAGGAAGGTTTTAAGTCCTTTTTAAAAACTGTCAGTATATTGGTTTGCCCTGAGTGTCAGGAAGGGCATTTCACAGGGGAGGCACATTAGGCTGCCCTGAGTGTCAGGAAGGGCATTTCACAGGAGAGGCACATTAGGCTGCCCTGAGTGTCAGGAAGGGCATTTCATAGGCGAGGCGCATTGGGCTGCCCTCAGGGTGTCAGGAAGGGCATTCCACAGGCGAGGCATAGCAGCACAGAGTTTAGTTTGCTGAGTTTAGTTCTGGGGGGATGGAGGCGACTTAATTGTGAAGAGCGGAGGGGTCGTGTCGTGTTGTGGTTTGAGTTATCAGTTCTTTTAAGTAAAGAGGAGCGTTTCCATAAATGCACTGGTGGGTGAGGAGAGAGATCTTGCACTCGATCCTGGCAGAAACAGGAAGCCAGTGAAGGGACTGAAGGACAGGTGTTATGTGTTCATATTTCCGAACTCTCATCAGGATCCTAGCAGCAGAGTTCTGGATGTACTGCAGCCTTAGAAGACTCTGCCCTCACTGCAGCCGGTGATTAGTTCCAGAGTCGGCAGCAGTGTAGAAACAGGGTTGATTGGGCAAAGGCCGAGAACCTGTTTGCACATGGATGTGAGACCCTTTGGTGTCCCGACCGAGTGAGGTGGGTGGAGCCATGTGGCTGAGTGTTTTCGCGAGGGTACTGATGAAGCCAGTCTCAAGGTTAGTCGTTTTATTTTAATACAGATGAGGTGGCTCCTGATTGTCACCCGTCCATCTGCGGGAACGGGTCCTCTGCTAATTTCCGGACGTTCACTTCCCCAAACAAACCCCCAGGTTTGGGTAGCCCTGCTCATTGGATGTGAGCTATCCAGACAGTCAGCCACTCCAGGGTAATGGTCCGGAAACTCCAGACGTGGGAGGGCGGGGGGGTATCCCAGCTGGCCTCTGGGGCCGGGGGTGTCCCAGGAAGTCTGGGGTCTGTCTGACGGGGAGGGGACGGGAACATCCTCACCCACCTCAGGTGCTCAGGGGGGCATATCTCTGTTGCTAGGAGATAACGAATCCTGGCTTAATTAGGTAAGTATTCGCTGCACGCCTCAGCAGATCGTTGGCCTGCCGCGGTGAGTCGGTGTAGCATTTCAGAAAGCGCCATTGCTTTCTACGACCCCCATGTCTTTCCAAATACTGTAAAAACACACTGGCGCCTCAGCAGGTGGCTGACTGGGTCTGGGTCCATGACTGACTGTTTCCAGAAGGTATTTTGTGCAGCCCTGTTGATTTTCCCATTTGAAAAACGTATTGCTGTGTCACCTTTGTCAATGGGACTATTTTACCTGAGAGCGCCTCCTGCCTTTACATGAGAAATAAGCAGCCACTGACCCAGCGTACCCATGACATATTAGACACACCGGCAAGGATGTCATCCGGGAGGGGGCGGGGGGTGCAGTCATCCAGGGTGACTCAGTTGTTATATAGGGCCCTCATTGTGGGGGGGCCTGTGGTCTGTGTCTACATGCCTGATGTGGAACTTGTCCACAGGGGGACACCTTCATCTTGGGGGGGTGTTACACATGAGTGAGTCTGTCTGCTTCCTTTGGGTCAGGGTTGATGTAGAATCACTGGCATGAGCAGCACCTGCAAGCGGACCCCCCCCCCCACCCATGCATTATTTTGGGCAAATAAATTACTGAAATTTGCAGCCTCCTCTGCTCAGGGCCAGTTCATTCAGACACCAGGTGGGAAAATAGGACGGCTGAACATCTGGTTTTGGTACAAATACTGCAGATTAGGGGCTCCAGGGCCTGGCTAAATGCAGTGCATTATGGGAGAGGAATGGGGGGGGGGGATCCGCCTGTATGTGCGGCGAAAGCCGTGACCTGTTCAGCTGCTATGGACTGTGTTATGGTTTATTATGATGCTGTGATACGCTGTCCTGCAGTAACAGTAATTCCCGCCTTTAAGGGTGCTGGCTTGAGTTGCCATGGCAACTCAGCAGCACGATGTCAGCACCTGCCTGCTTTCTTTGTTTACATCCTCTGATTTAAATGGTGACGGGCGGCAGTGTAAAACACCATGCTTCCACACGCTTGCCCCCCCCCTGAGGTTCGGGTGTGGCCCGCTGATGCACCCGTCTGCCAGCTATTTCTTAGGGAGTTGGCGGGGGGGGGACTTCATTTATTATTATTATGGGGCGTACTGCTCAGGCTTGCATCATTCAGTTAAAACCGCCTGACACAGAAGTAATTCCTTGTCGATCAGAGGACTGGCCGCATCTGAACCTGTCTGGAAACGCATGAAGGATGGATCTGCCCCCAGCGCCTCCACTGCCCCCAGGGCATTAGCACCCATTCGTTGCGCTGGTGGCTTTTGGCTTCCCCGCCCTTCTCCCTGGGTATGATAGATGGCTTTTGACTTCAAGCTTTGCAGATTTGACTTTAATAAGTATGCGGATCCTCATTTCACAGACTCTTGTTCCTGATTTCTTATGTTATACTTAATCTTGATTCCAGCAGTCCAATTTAATCACCTCAGTATTACAATAGCTGTGTAATCTGACTGGCATTTTGGACTGGATCCATTTCGACGGCTGCTGTTCTGTACCGCTCCCCACTGTGAGATCTGAGCCTATTAGCCCCAAGACCTGTGCTTTCTTGAGGCACATTACTGTCGTGTTCAGATACTCTACCTGAACATCCCCCAGTGCACTGAGCATAGTGTCCACACTCTGGGACACCTCATTTACAGTTCTGGCTCCATATCATATATCATATCATATTATATCATATATATAATTTTAGAGTATATTCTGCAGTACATTTCTAGCTTGTTTGTGTTTGCAGCAGATCTGAGCACCACATCTGCCCCCATCTGTTTGTCCTAAACCTCCTTAGGCTTTTTCCTTCAAGCAATCCTGGATCTCGTCTTCGGCGTAGTTTTCTTAATGGGAGAACTTCCTCCCTTTGTCCTTCATGTGGGCCAGAGCTATTGTTTGTATTCAGGATGTCTGGCTGTCCTCCTCTTGCTTGCTGTCCTAATGATCAGGCTTAGCTAGCATGGCCTGGACCTCCAACAGGCAGCCCAGTGCCTCATGGGATATATTCCCAGAAGACAGCTCTCTGAATCTGGGGGTGGCTGGATCTCTCCAAAGTGTTTGGGGGGGAGGGGGGTTCATTGTCACTTTAGCTGTTCCTGCCACTAGCATGAATAGATATGTGACTCATCCGTATTCATATGATCAGGTTGTTCAGCTTTAGAATGGAAGGGCGCTTCTGTGCTGTACAACTCCCATGATGCATCAGGGTCTCATGCAGAGTATAATCAAAGATGGAGACTGGCAGCATATCCTGTGGCTGAGGGGTGGGGAGGACGACCCCATCAGGTCCCCGTAAGAGTGGGGACTGGGGGGGGGGGGGATCAGCACATGACAGGAGGTGGCTTGGGGAAAAGCCGGTCCCCACCGTGATGGACGTGCTGTTTGCGCCTTGTGAGCTCAATTTGTTTGTGCAAATGCTGAAATGTTCTCTCTCTTGCCGTGTGCTGACAGTTTAGTCGTTTGCTGCCAAAATGGAATAAAGAGTTACATTTGAAAAGATTGTCATCTGTCCTGAGACAAAAATAATTTAAAAAAAAAACAACCTTTCAAGTTACGATCCAAACGGAAACAAAAAAATGCAAATGTCCCAATGGTAAGAAAAGGTAAATCAGCCCTCTTTCCCGGCTCAGGCTGTAGACCGCCTTGTTAATTACTTTCATGAGGCTCTGTTGGAGAGTAAGCCCGGCTTTGAGCAGTGCCCAAAGGCTTCAGATCTCCTTCCTGTAGTAAGCAGTAAGTAATGCCTTTCAGAACGGGACGGACTGCAGCTACCTGGTCCGGCAGAACGCAGAGTTGCTGCGTGCCCTGGGCGACCTGGAGAAGACCTGCGCGTCCCTGAAGGAGGAGAACGGCCTGCTGGTGAGCCCTGCGAGATGCCCTCAGGCTGGAGTTCATCACGCCACTCGGGCCTCTCCGCTGCTCACCCACCCCCATCCAGCCAGTAACATAAGCAAAATGAAAATATGGCTAAGAAGTATAACCAAATTACCGAAGAAAAACGCTGAAATGGAACATAGACTATGGCCAATATTGTGGAAACACCTACCATTTTTGGCATTACGCTTCAAAAATTGCTACATGAATATTGGTGGTAATGTTTATAAACGATCAAAGAATGTTAATAATGTCATTCATTGGACAATTAAATGACTGGAGCAACTGTTCAGTAAAGTTCTGCAGTCTCTAAAAATTGGTAGTGTTTACTCCATACACTAGTCACCAGAACTGTGAAAAGTGCATCGTCCATTCATCTATCCTTCTGATGTCCATTCATCTATCCTTCTGAAAGACAGATTCTTAAATTGTCTGTTCCATTGATGGCTCTGATGTATCGGTGATAATGTCCGTGTGTTTATCATAGAAGTGGGAGGGTAATTGCAATGTTGATGATGTGATGAGGTTTCTCATCCTCACAGCAGACTAAAGCTTGACATTTATGTAAATAGTTACCCCTTAATGGACTGGGGAGGGGTGGGGGGGGGCTCCTTGGTTGTCGTTAAAGTGTGATTTTGTTCCACCCAGCGCAAAAGCCGCTCACCTGAGACGGAGGAGAAGGTGAAGCGGCTGAAAAGGAAGAACACGGAGCTGGCAGTGATCGCCAAGAGGCTGGAGGAGCGAGCACGCAAACTGCAGGAGGCCAACCTCCGTGTGGTGAGGGGTCACCGCCATCAGGGGCTCAGGGTGCCGGGGGGGGGTAAACGGCCAGCTCAGACGCGGCTTTTCCCAAGTTTGGACCCGGTTCCGCTCTTGTCTGGGTTGCAAGGCGCCTGACCGTTCGGTAATCCGCTCTGTAACGTGCAGTGAAATGGCTGTTATGAGCCGCTGGAGTCGCGGGTAATCAGGAAATGTGCCGGCATTGCAGTGGCCCCCGGCCTTGGCCTCTAATGCTGCATTAATCCCACCTGAGAGCTGGGAACGCTGCCCTGGCATCAGCCCCCGGCGCCGCCATCTGGAGAGCCTCAGGACATGCTCTCACCCCCCCCGTAGGACCCACAGATCGATCGGAGCCGGGCCGCAGCCAACACAGATGCTGTTTTTAACTTCGCCCGGCATCCTGTTCGAACGTCACTCCCGGAACCAGGCATTAGCCAGTAAAATGCTCAGGTGATGGAGGCAACAGGAAAGGGGGGGGGGGGGCAAGAATAATGGACCCCGATCAGCAGGCAGAGAGTAATGAGTCAGAGTAAAGTCTTGGAAGACACAGCGCCCCCTCTGGTATGGCATTTTATGTGCTTGTCGGTGAGTGGTTTATAGTCCCCTGGTAAATCAGCCCCTCCCCCCCCCCCAGGTGAATGTCCCAGCCTCGATGCGGGCTGGCGGTGCTGTGGAACAGTACAAGCGGGCCTTCGCCCGGCAGCGGGCCCGCGACCTGGCCCAGCACGCAGACACGCTGCTCTGCAAGGACAAGGAGATCGCCAGCCTGCGACGCCAGTGCCACGAGCTGCAGGCGCGCATCGGCACCACCAAGGTGAGCGCACCGCCGCAGCCATGCTGTGCCACTCCCACATCCAGTCTGTAGAGGGCGCTCCTCTGAAGCAACACTGTGACAGAAGCTTTTGACAATTGTTGCTCGTGCTAACCAGTCCTTAGCACCCTGCAGGTGACTGGTCACACTGGTAAGTGTAACACTAGCTGCTAACGGACACCACACGATCTGGGCAGTACCAGACAATCCCGTCAGCAGAGTCACACGCCTCGCAGCTGCCCTCGGCTTCCCAGGCTAGCCTGGCATGGAGCGACACCAGGCAGAGCTGCCAGCGTAATTCCAGCAGACGGATGGAGTGTCTGCCCTCTTTATAACAAACGAGCATTGTGTGTGGTTTTAATGCAGCAGAGCTCATTACTGTAAGCCTTCTTTTGTTATAATGCGCCCTCTGCTGGACATGCCTGGCTCTGCAGAGGGGACTGTCTTCCAGCGTTTATGGAGGAAGTGAAGGGACGATGATGACCAAGGGCACTCATAGTACTGAGAGATGCCATTGTGATTTTTTTTGGAGTGCTGCTTTAATTTGCATATCACCTAAATGCCTGCCACTGTTATTGGCATCAAACATTTAGCATCTTTGTCCGTAACAGCTGCCCAAAACAATGCAAACAACTTTTCACAAACAAGTCAATTTGAATATAAAATATGATAGCAAGGATATTAATGATTCCCACTAGTTGACAATGTCAGCAGGGCTCAGATTCAGCCTGATGTATTCATTTGATGTCCACTAGGGGGCAGTGATCCCATGTCAGTATTCATCACTGATGTCACAAAAGGTGAATCGTGTGCCGTGACTCTTAATCATAAGCCGGTGTAATGACCCAGTCGCAAAGGCTAAATGAAATGCATAATGCATGATCGCTTCAGGTTATACATCAAGGTGAACCTTTCTCATTTGGATTGCAATAGCAGATTGATTTAGGAATATAGCAAGTTCTTGGGTAGGTCACCTTCCCAGAAATGCTGAGTGTCCCTTACAGCTCTTCATCAAACCCCATCTTACATGCTGCCCCAGTGTTTCTGTGATAATCATTGGGCACAGCATGACCTGCAATTAATTAGCCAGCAGTTCGGGGAGAACGGGAGGTGCAGGTTCTCTGCTGGCGTGACGGGGCGTTCTGCTGGCGTGACGGGGCGTTCTGCTAGCATGATGCGTATGGTGACTGCTGGCATGATTCTGAAAAGGAGGACTAAGGCTGAAAAATGAGGTCATCCATGAAAAGATCCTCAAACTGGGAGGGGCAGAGCTGAGGATGGTATATCTATCACGATATTTATCTTAGGGGGGGTCTCCAACTCTCTAGGTTTTCTGTCCCACTGATGAGCCACACCTGCTCCTGGTATTTACCTGAGAACAGGTGTGGCTCATCAGAAGCCGGGTAGGATAGAAAACCTACTGGACGGTAGCTCTCCAGGACCGGAGTTGGAGACCCCTGATCTAGAGATAACGTCATAGAGATCATTGTACGCACTCCCACTCTCTACTTTTGTAGTACGTGTGTGTGGGTGTTTCATGATTTTTGTGCGACCGGGGGTGGGAGAGAGTGGCATTAGTTGTTGACGGGGAGGTGGGTAAGAAGGACATGGGGACTTGAAGGAGGACACCCCACCGCAGTCCAGACAGAGGGCTGAGTGGTCACCCTAATGACGGGGCTCTCTGGTGGCACGACGGGTTTCCTGGCGGGGCTCTCGGCTGGCTTGGCAGGGCCCTGGGTTGGCGCAGCGGGGCATTCTGTTAGCATGGCGGGGCTTTCCCCTAGCGCAACGGGGCTCTCTGTAGGCGAGACAGGGTTCTCCATTAGCACGACCACACTTTCAGCTGGCGGTGCTCTCTGTTAGCGAGATGGAACTTTTGGCCAGCTAGTGTAGCAGAGCTCTCTGCAGTACAGCATAGCTTTCCACTAGCGTGATGGGGCTTTCAGTTAGCTAGTGCAGCAGGGCTCTCAGCTAGATCGACGGGGCTCTCCTAGCATGACGGGCTCTCAGCTAGATCGACGGGCTCTCCTAGCATGACGGGCTCTCAGCTAGATCGACGGGCTCTCCTAGCATGACGGGCTCTCAGCTAGATCGACGGGGCTCTCTCCTAGCATGACGTGCTCTCAGCTAGCGTGACAGGTCTGCTCTGCGCTAGCAGTAGCAATGGACTGGGCGTCTCTGACCTCTCCCCCATTCCTCTGTACTCTCGCAGGGGATCCCTGGCTCGGCTCCCCTCCCTGAGGTTGAGCGGCTCCTGCGCGAGTCCCAGAAGGAGGTTCTGCGGCTGCAGAGGCAGCTGTCGGTGTCCTCGGCCAAAGATGGCAGTGCAGGCAACCCAGAGAAGGTAAGAAATGCGGCGGCTGGCTCTGAGGTGGGCGGGGTCAGAGAGAGGACCAGCCCCACCCCCAGGGCTTCCAGGAGGTGAATAAATGTCACTGCTTTCAGGGTGCATTGTGCATTTATAGATCATTTATAGCCTTGGTGTGAACTGAACATAATCTAACAGTGTCGCCTCTTACTGGCACCATGTTGTCTTGGGAAAAGGTGCCTACGGTTGTTGCCTTTTGGTTTATAAATACACAGGCTCATTCTCCGACTTTCAGTAGGTGGCAGCACACCAGGGGATGGTCAGCATGGCATCAGGCCTCGTTAGTATGGCTGTGGGGGTGGTGTGGGTCTGGAACATCCCACAGACGGGAGCCAGGGTTTGGCTTTTCTCTGAGGGGGTAAGCGGAATTCATCCCTGATGGGTTTTATTTAGGAGGCTCGTTGGTTTGTTACGGTTCCTCCTTCCATATTGGTGCTTTGGTGCCACCCATGTCCTAAGTAATGTGGACTTTTATGAACTGGCTGAAGCCTAACAATAGAGTGCTCTCCCTGTGCCATTAGCTTATCCTCCTCTGCGCCTGGAGGACCAGAGATAATTAGGCTGAATGGTACCTTTGGGCTATCAAATTTTTTCAGTCATTGCCCCCTCCAGTTGACCTGGACATAAGGAGATTCTATATGATTTGATTGAACACAATGTGATATGGTGCGATGCGATTCCAAAGAAAATATTATGTAAATCAAAGTGGCACAGATAGTTAATTTTCATTCTTCATTCCTACTTGTTGCTTCACAATTAACAGGTACAATGCGACAATTCCCCAAAGTCAAGGCAGTGGCGGCTCTTGATGCTGTACAGATGAACAGATTACTTGTTATTTCTAGATGGTCCTTCACACTTTGAACAGGAGCAACAATTAAAGAGTTGAGCCCTAAACTGCTGATCTTCTATAAGCTGTTACAAAAATACAAGTACACATTACACCTTTCTCCAAATGCAAAGTGGTGAACTACTGAAATTAACAACAATCCCTGTCTCATAATTAATATTTAACCCAAGTGCTAGTTTCATGTGATCTACATGGTCAGGATGAAGGAGACTGAGCAGTAACGGTATCACCCGCAGTGCTAAAAACCAGTTCAGAGGAAACACTCGTTGCTGGTATACAAAACGAGGGGGGCCACGCCACACACTTTGAGTATCATTGCTTTGGATGATAACTGCCGACGAGGGCTTAACGAAGACATCCCTCCTACAGGCTAAGGGGGAGAGCCCCATCCCCGAAGCCAGCAGGGTCCCCACTGTACCTAATACCGGCAGCACAGACAAAGGGACGGGGCAGGAGTGTCACGTGACCCCCAAGCCGGAAGCCACCACCCAGAATGAGGTCCGGCCACACGATCTGCACCTGCACTCCCTGGTAGGCACAGCCGGCATGCCCTCTGTGGTCGGGTATGATAGCAGAGGTAGGGGTCTTTCAGGGGGCAAACTGGAGGCCACTGGAAATGGCTCTGAGGCTTTGAGTCCATCCTCACCCTGTTCTTTCTTGCAGCAGTATTTAGAAACGCAGCTTTCAAGTTGCAGTCAGCTTCATATTAATTTTCATATGGCAGCATAATACTGAAATTCCTGTGTCCACAAATCATAAACCACGTCACAGATCTGTTAGCCTCTTTTGTGGGCAGCTGACGGGTGTCAGGGGGAGCTGCGGTTAAACTGCCACAAGTGACTAATAAGCCCCTCCGAGGTTCCCAATATCCTTCGTAATTTCTGAATCTCTCCTAGCATGACGGGCTCTCAGCTACAGGCCGATCAGGACGAAATAAGCATATTCCACTGTTTATCAATGTAAGCTACACCTGGAATAGTTAATGCATTGTGAGGTTTGAAACAATTATTAATTAGAATTTTTAAAACAATTAAAACATGGCATACTGGCACAGAGATTTCTTGTGTTGCCCCAAAAGTTGGTAACTGTTTCCTGAGGTTCCAGTGCTGTGTGAACATCCTTTAACTGTGCGAAACTTTAATGCTGTCACTGAATTACGACCTTTTCAGGAAACTGAGCTCACCAAAAAGAGAAAAGAGTGTGAAAGTCTGCAGAATGACGTGAGAAAAAGACAGAGGAGATGCCTGGATCTGGTAAGGCGCCAAACCGGGCGTTTGTCAGCTTCAGGTTACCATGGCGATTCCCATTCAGCCCTGTACGCCAGACCGAGCGCTTGTCAGCTCCGGGATACTGTGGTGTTTCCTGTTCAGCCCTTTATGCCAAACAGTGTTTGTCAGCCCCAGGTTACCGTGGTGATGATTCATCTAATGATGCTCGATTTTCTAAACCGTAGTGGTTTAATGGAATAGTTCTGTGTTTTTTAATAGGAGAGCCAGCTGGAGGATGAGCGAGGCAAAAACGAGCAGCTAGCTGAGGAACTGGGCCACCTTAGGCAGACGGTACAGCAGCTCGCCCAGGTGAGATGGGCTTACACCACTTAACCCCCTGCTGGTCCCAAACAGTCACTACACTAAATATTAAACAAACACTTTCTTTATTTAGGAGACGCTAAAGCAGCATGCTGTGCTAACCAGCTAGCTAGCTATGATCATCTGACTCACTAGCTATTTGGTCTGAGGGTGATGGGTGGACCCCAAAGTGACTTGTTAATTGGGGCCCCCTGAACCTGAGTTCCTTTTCACATAACAGCCTCAAAATGACGTCAGACTCCAGCCTGCCTTTATTTCATCATACATCATGGGTTATAAATGCAGATGATGCACTCAAGGGGGAGGCCACACTGCAATGAAGTGACACCTCTGTCACCCCGTACAGGCTCAGGTGGATAATGCGGAGCTGAGAGAGGACCTGTCCGAATTGACTGCCCAACGCAATTTGGTTCTCGAGGAAAACCAAAGACTTCGTGCCAAGCTGGAGAACCTCGAACAGGTCCTCAAGGTATGTCATTGAAGGTGGAGAGGAACAAGGATCTTGTTGCGTCCCCAGCGTTGGTACAGGCCTGTCCATTAATCACCCCCCTCCTTGTCCGCAGCTTTGGTACAGGCCTGTCCATTAATCACCCCCCTCCATGTCCTCAGCCTTGATACAGGCCTGTCCGTTAATCACCCCCCTCCTTGTCCGCAGCGTTGGTACAGGCCTGTCCGTTAATCACCCCCCTCCTTGTCCGCAGCGTTGGTACAGGCCTGTCCGTTAATCACCCCCCTCCGTGTCCGCAGCATATGCGTGAGATCGCCGAGCGCCGGCAGCGGCTGGAGCTGGAGCATGAGCAGGCCCTGTCTGTGCTACGCTTCAAGCAGGACGAGGTCAAGCGGCTGCAGCGGGTACGAGGGGGCATGGTGTCCTCTCTGAGGACCGTCACACCGCCTCAGTCTAATTCAGAAGACACATTATCACCGGAATACCACAGAAACAAGAAGTATTTTACAGTGATAAGTCGACACATGCCCTCCAGGGATAGGCTCTAGGCCCAGCCTGTACTGGTGTCAGCTCTAGGCCCATTCCATACTGGGAGGTAATAGGTCGTTATGTGTCCTCCTGGGATAGGTTCTAAGCCCATCCCGTACTGCATTAGTGCTCACAGTTGGTGTCTAGTCGGGTATTAATCAGTGTTCCAACAGGCGCAGTTTTTCACCAAGAGGGAGCATGATGGTGTGGTGCAGCTGTTGGAGGTGAGTTCCCTAAAATGATCTGATAATATCTGACAGTCACAAAGCTAGCTTAGGCGTGATGTGAAGGTGGGGGGGACGAGGCGTCCCGGCTGGTCGCTTCCTGGTTGTCTCCCTGCTCTTTTTTAATTGAGCTTGGACTTCTCTTTGGCTGATCCAGGGGCCGCCCCCCCAAGCATGGAGGTGGGTGAGCGGCCCCCCTCTGGTCTGTCTGTCCATCTGAGTAAATGATCCATGTGCTCCATTGTAGGAACTGGTCCAGCTAGTGTTGCAGAGAGAGCTGGTACAGTACAGCGCCTCCTGTTTTTTAAACTGATTTTTTCCTCCCCTCTCTCTCTCTGTCTGTTAAGCTGCATCACCAAATCACCGGCCCCTAGGGGCCCCAGAGCTCTGAAAATGGGCTTCCAGAGAAGCCAGCAGGGATCAAAACACAGCGCGTCGGGTCTGAATGTTGCTCATGGGCAAATATCAACTGATTAAATGTCCAAGCAGGCCTGTGTGTGGCTCTGCCGGTTAGGACACTGTGCCCGCAACCAGGAGGTTGTTGGTTCAATTCCCAGGGTTGGCAGAGTGATTTTGCTCTCTTAGGCCTCTGAGAAAGGCCATTTACTCTTAATCCAACCCTGCTCTTTCTGTTGTATGTCGCTTTGCCTACAAGTGCCTGCTAAATAAATTCATATTTAAAGTTTGTATGACTTTGGCGTTTTCCAGTCAGTCTGCTGCAGCTCGAGACCTTTGAGGAGCTGTCAGTAGCTTTATGCTGGTGTGCGGTTAGGATGGAGCGTGCTGCTCACTGCCATCACCGAGGCCGCGATGCAGAGCCCCCGCACAGCTGTGGGGGGGTCAATATCACCTCACCGCTTCACTGGGCGGTTTGGGGTGTTTTTGTGATGCAGCTTGTCGCGTGAACCTGGACTCAGATTGCAGTGTCTAATCTATTAACCCCTCTGGCCTCGTCCCACCCCCACTTGCTGCATGCACGCTCTCTCCGTACCTGAAAATGCCCATGCTGCTAACCAGACCACACTGGACTGCATGCAGGTATACCCAGCATCTAGTGTGTCCCGTCTGGACCCGTGCCATCCCTCTACACTAACATCCAAACCTTTCTGTGTGTGTGTGTTGTGTGTGTGTGTGTGTGTCTGTGTGTGTGTGTGTGTGTCTGTCTGTGCCTGCGTGTGTGTGTGTGCCTGCGTGTGAAAATAGTGCACACTTCATGGTTCACGCAGGTGGGCACTGCTACAGGCGTGCTGACACCCACGGCTCCTGCGTCACACAGTCACACGTCTTCCTGTATTATCTTGCTTTCCTGCAACTTGGTGGTTGTCTGTTACTGTGTGGGTTAATGGATCAGACAGTTAATGGCGCCCCCAGGCTGTGGCAGTGCCCGAAGCGCGCCGTGGGGGTGCTGAGGTGCCTTGCTCGTGTGCGCTGAGCAGTGGGACCGTCTTGCAGACGCTGACCCATCCACGCTAAGCCACGACTTCTCAGACCTAGAGGCCGAGCGGAGGGGCAATAGAGCTATCCCCCAATACCCACTAGCAAAGTGTGTGTGTAGGGAGGGTATTGCAACTGTATCTCTCCCCCCCCACCGTTTAGTGCGAGCCTTGCACACTAATCTTCCGCGGCCCCTTAATTTGCATGGCAGGAAGTCACAGTTTCAAAGTGCAGGAAACCAAACCGCTCGATTGGGGGCCCCCGCACAGCACTATCCCCGCCCCATTCCACACTATCCCCGCCCCATGCCACACTATCCCCGCCCCATGCTACACTAGCCCCGCCCCGCACTATCCCCGCCCCGCACTATCCCCGCGCCGCACTATCCCCGCCTCGCACTGCACTATCCCCGCCCTGCGCCGCACTATCCCCGCCCCATGCTGCACTATCCCCGCGCCGCACTATCCCCGCCCCGCACCGCACTATCCCCGCCCCGCGCCGCACTATCCCCGCCCCGCACCGCACTATCCCCGCCCCGCGCCGTACTCTGCCCTACGCCACGCCCTGACCCGCCCCGCGCTCTGGCCCCTGTGGTTTCCTTTGGTGATGGGCCTGACGGACTGCTGTGGCCGGCCTGTACGGCTTATGGGCTCAGGCTTATAACCAACCCACATACAGACTGAGCCTGCAGGTGCTGAGCCTTCTGTCTCGGCAGTCCCACGGGACAGGCTGACCCCACTGCTTACACCACCCCCATAACTTAATTTTATGCATTTAGTCACTTATTGCGTAGCAGTGCCATTTTAAACTTCACATTAACATAAAAGCCCTCTAAGTACAGAAGCACATCTGAATATAGAGGTGCAGTAGTGGCGTAAGAGTATAAATGGACTATTTTAAGAGTCAGCGTTACATAGATGGACCTGCACAGTGAGCTGCACTAGAGCTCTCCATGCAGTCGCCGTGGGTAACCGCCGGGCCCCCGGGGGCCCCGCCTCGCTGTCCGCAGGCTAAGGTGCATGACCTGGAGGAGAGGTGCCGAACCCAGAGCGAGCAGTTCACCCTTCTGTCTCAGGAGCTGGAGCGATTCCGGCTGCGCGCCAGCGGGACGGAGATCCCGGCCCAGCTGGGCAGCGAGGACGGAGGTAGGCCGCGCTTCCGGAACCTTCTATCTGCTTCACCTCTCAGTCTGCTATATTAGTGCATTTAGGCCTCAGGGTTTTTTATGTGCTTTCTGTAGTTACGGTACCCCTCCTCTTAGTGACATTAACTGGCCTGTCTGCAGGCCTGAAAGCACCCTGTCATGATTGGCTAAGCCCCTGTCAGCTGCTCTGCCCAGCATGCAGCGAATACGCCCCCTGCAGCGTGTCACTGATCTGACGTCTGTGCCGCAGACAGCCCTTGGCACCCTTGCCGCTCTCACCGCCTTCGCCGGCGCCGCCCAGGCCAGCCCATCGTATCACTCCTCCCGCTCAGACCTCCGCAGTAACGGCGCCACATGCTGCTTCTGCTTTTAGATGCTCTCGGCTCGTGGGATATGATCTCCCTGGGAGAGGTCACCTTCTGCAGTCTGGAGGCTGCAAACGGAGGGCTGCTCTGTGACGACTCCTCGCTGGGTACAGCCTTCTGAGTCTGACGCCCTCTCACAAATGGGAGGTGGGCGGGTCTTCCAATGCACTGCATTTGGCTCTGAACTCTTTGCTGGTCTGGCAGGGTTGCACCTCCCCCCCACCCCCTTTTTTGCATGCGGGCACTGCTTAAAGAGTCGAGGGTGTCTCACGGGGGGGTGTCCTCTACCCTTCATGCCTGGCAGGGCTCTGCCTCCCCTTCCCAGACCACGCCTGTCCCACACATGGGATGGACGCCATCCTGGAGAGTTTGGGCGGCGTCAGTGGCCATCCTGAGTGCTTTGCTCTGTGCTGCCCTCTTTGTGAGATTAACTGGCCCGTCTGCAGTCCTATAAGCACCCTCAGGTGATTGGCTAAGCCCCTCTCAGCTCCTCTGTCCAGCACCCTGCGAATGCGCCCCCTATAGCGCGTCGCTGATCTGACGCACCATAGACGGTTGCTGTCTTCCCCGAAGAGAACCGTCCCCTGTGACCATGCGCTCGTCTTCCTGCAGATGTGGGCAAGACCGTCCCGCTAGCGGGGAGCAGGGCACAGGAGTCCGCCCCGGTCACCCAGACCCGCGAGCCGCCATTGCTCGGTGCCAAATCAGGCTCCGCCTCCAGCACGCCCAAGTCGGAGTCACGGCAGCTCACCCCGAAGTCTGGGTCCCTCCCACAGAGCCCTCAGAAGTCTTCTGCGACCCAGGACGTGAGACCACGCCCCCTTACCGCCCCATCACCATTTTTCCATCATACATTATTTTTATAGTTCTTTTTTTACCAGATGCTTTGTGGGCCTTTCTCTGTATATCAGTTTTATTCATTTTTGATAGTTTTAATAAATTCTGTAATTAATATAGCGCAGCTGATTTTCAAAATGGGCTGATCGATGAATGTAAGCCTATTTGTCTGTTCATCACCGCGTCCTGAAGGTGGACACGGCCAGTGAGGTGGAGGAGCTGGATATTGACGTGTCCCCGATCCCGTACCCTGGGACCCGGGCAGCTACAAAGCTGCAGGTCTTCATCTCCCGATACAGGTTTGTGCACCATCCTACAGGTCATAGGGAGTGTACCCGTCACCTTCCCTTCGCCAGCTATCTTATTTGGATTTGCTTTTTCTTTAGCTACAATCCATATGACGGCCCCAACGACAGTCCAGAAGGAGAGCTCCCCCTCACTGCTGGGGAGTACATCTACATTTACGGAGATATGGATGATGACGGCTTTTACGAAGGTACCTTTAGTGTGGGGAGGATTTCCTTCTGAGTTGGGTTCTCTGCAGAACCTGACATGCTGTATTGCATGTCCAGGAGAGCTGATGGATGGCCGCAGAGGGCTGGTACCCTCCAACTTCGTCGAGCGGGTCTCTGACGACGACGTGATGAGCCTCCACCCGGCCGAGGCTGGAGAGCTCTCCCATGGCTCTTTCCAGGAGTTCAGCTTCCAAAGCAGTAGCGAGAAGCTCCTTCGCTTCAGCATCACCAGCTTGGAGAAGACGGAGTCCTCTGCCCCGGCCGAGCAGGCCCCAAGAAGGAGCCCAGCGCCCCTGACCAACGGCATGGACCTGGATGTGGAAGACATGGGTGTCGATTTAGTGCCTTACCCCCGGAAACTGACCGTTATCAAGCAGCTGGTCAAAAGCGTCATCATCAGCTGGGACCCGCCCTTGGCGCCTTGCGGCTTGCCCAGCATCTGCAGCTACAACGTCTACGTGGATGACGATCTGCGGGTCAGTGTGCCCCTGGGCTCACAGACCAAGGCCGTGCTGGAGCAGCTCGACATTGCAGAGAGGTGCTATCGCGTCTCCGTGCAGAGCCTGACGGAGCGGGCTGCATCAGACCGCCTGCGCTGCAGCCTCCTCGTGGGCGGGGACGTGAGCGCGGCTCCCGCCACGCTGAAGGCCGAGCGCGTCACCGCCACCTCCGCCAGCCTCACCTGGTTGCCTAGCAACAGTAACTATGCGCACGTGGTATACCTGGATGACGAGGAGCATGAGCTGGTCCGGGCCGGTTGCTACTCGCTCTGCCTGGGGAACTTGAAGCCCAACACGGCGTACCGGGTGAGGGTGGAGGCACGACCTCCCCCCAGCAGGCCCTGGGAACTGCCCCCGGGGGCATCGGAGCACAGGAGTGCCCTGACGTCTTTCACCACGCTCACGGCAGGTGAGGCATTGTTGCCTGCATGCCTTAAAGAGGGGTAGTCAGTGCTCCACAGGAAGTGATGCCTTCAGTGGCCACACCCTCACCCTTTTGAGTTTCAGTGTCTCCACCAAAACTCAAAAACTACTCACACTGTGACCACATTTAATGAAATATTCCTTTTTTAAAGAGAGCAACTGGTTTGTGCAAGGAAGGATAACTAATTAAGAAAAATTAATTATTCAAATATTTAAATTCAGAGTAAAGATGTTATCGCTTGCATTACAGTCCAATCAAGTTGTCCTGTCAAGCATTTATGGTCTGAATTTGCTGAATTGTCATGGAATGGTGGCTAGGTAAACCTTACCACTATGCATTATTTCTTTACTAAACCCTGACCTTCCGTTGACCTGTTGGTGATAACCTGCCCCTCCCAGGCCCTCCCGACGCCCCATTGGACGTGCAGCTGGAGATGGGCCCCTCCCCCGGGATTGTGCTGGTCAGCTGGCTCCCCGTCACCATCGACGCGGCTGGGACGTCTAACGGTGTCCCCGTCACGGGCTACACCATCTATGCTGACAGGAAGAAAGTGAGACTCCCACCTCGTTCCCTCATCCTTCCTGTTTTGGCCACATGTTCTGTGTGCTGTTTGGGTCCACTGTCACCTCCGTAATTGCTGCGTCACGAGATTGCGTGCGAGATCTGTGGAGCAAGCGTCCAAGATAGGGTTCTGGTCCAATGACAAACAAGCAGGAGATTCATCTCTGGCTAATCAACATCCTTAAGTTATCATAGCAATTTTGTGTAGGGGATTGTCCTCTGACCTCTGACCTCTGACCTTGCCACTTTGACTCACAATAAAACATCATCGCTGTCCATCCTGACTTGTCACCGCCCTCCCCGTGTCTTCTGGCTGCAGGTGTTGGAGGTGGCCTCTCCGACGGCAGGCAGCGCCCTGATTGGCCCATCACAGATCGACGCCCTGCAGAGTGCCCGTGAGCTCACTGTGTGCACCATGTCCCCCCTGGGGAAGTCTGCCGACTCCACACCCGTCCATGTGCAGGCCAAGCTGGTGCCAGTTGTGGAAGGGCTGGCCCCCTCCCCGCCCAGTTCAGCGGAGTCCCCCTCAGTCCCTGCTGTACACTCCCCGCCCCCTTCCCAGGAACTCGTAGCTGCCAAAACCCCCGGGCTGTCCTGTGATCCCCTGCAGGTGACCCTCCCCATTAAAGATGGAGCCTGGGTGGACCCCTCGGCCACTGGCCCCCTCGGGGCTCCCCCGGTGAAACAGGAGGCCCCGCCCACAGCAGAGTCACGCTGCAGCCCACCGGTAATGGAATCGCATTTCGGTTTGTCCTCCATGTTCATTGGCCTTCTCGTCGTCATCCTATAGTCTTGGTTATCAGACATGACCTGATATCGATGAGCAGTGTTTCTGTTTTCGGAGTGAAGATGGACTCCCTCCTTCTCGGTTCTCCATGGCTTAAGAAATTTCTCCACCCCTCTCTGCAGCTTTTAAGCCATTCGGTGTTGAAGTACAGTTAATATGATTCCCTGGAACAGGACCATGTCTTGCAGCTAGGGACACCCCCTTTGAAGATCTCTCAGTGGTCTGGCTGTTTTCACTTCAGCGTGAAACTTGTGCTGTGCAGGTGGGGGGTGGGGGGAAGGTGGCTGTTAGTGTAGCTGGTGGGCGATAGCTTCGTCCCACGAGGAGTGAGTAACATTGTCGATGCGTCATTAGGTTTAAACCTGTCATTGAAATGCTTTGCACCGTCCTCTGTGAGATTATTTTGAGACCCATGACCTTTGACCTGACAGGTTCAGAAAACCCTCTGTCCTCTTTTCTCCCAGGTCAGTTTGGCCTCGCCCTTGGATGAGGCCCAGGCCCTGGACTCCAGAAAAGATCCTGAAAGCCCAGGAGTCAAGTATCCTACCGTGTCCATCTCAGAATTCTTGGATGGTGTCGTTTCCAGTGCTGAGCCCAGCACAGCAACTCCGGGGGAGGTCCCAGCTCCCCCCAAGCCTTCCTGCCCGGAGGCAGCCATACCCCCCGACCCTGCAAACGTCTCAGAAACACACCTCCCGCTCCCCGCAAGCCCCTTGCCCCTGGAGTCAGAAGCGGAGTATGAGATTGGCCAGGAGAATGCTCGAGTAGGGTCCATCGACGACTTCCTGGATTCTGATAGGCTGCAGCATCAGCCAGTCAAGCAGGAGGACAGCTTCCTGCAGAGACGCCAGGTCTGTTGCATCCATCTCTGATCTCCCTAAGTTACGGCACCCGGTTACCCGGTTATGGCGCCAGACCTCCCATTGGCTGCTGGGTTTGATTGGAATGGATCATTTCTCCCTTCCTTTCTTCCTCTCTTGCTCTCTGTGGGGTACAGAACAGAGGACGTAAATGGATTGTTTTTCCTTTATCTGACCATCGTGTAGGTGATATTCAGTTTGGGTCCTCTGAATCCTGATTTTCCAAGGGTATGGCCATATAATCACAGAATTTAATAATGTGGAAAACCAGTGGTATTTGAAATACATCATTTTAGTTTTAATAACACTGGAAGATGAAATGCTCACGTGGGTAAAGATTAAAACTTGAAATGTTGTGATTGGTTGGAACGGGAACCCAAGAGCTTTGTTATTGGTCAGTTTTTCCATAACGAACACCATGCAAGAACATAACTGGCACCAGAGTACCCTAGGCCATAGCTGGATGATTGGTTTTGTAATCTATAATCAGGACTGTGTTTTGAACACTGGTGAAGGGAGGAGCTGAGCTGTCAACTGATCACCATCTGGTGGTGACTTGGATTAGTTGGTGGGGGAAGATGCCGCACAGACATGGCAAACCCATGTGCTGGGAGATCTTCAACAACCTCTGGCAGAACTTCTGTTGCATTCCAATGGAGGGTTGGAGACATTTAACTAGGGATGGGCCGGTCCACATTTCTCTTCAGGTCTAATGCGATTTTGATACACAACTGCCGATAGCAATACAAATTCCGACAGAAGAGCTCTTTTTACTTTAATACAATAAATATATATAATACATATTTATACTTTATATATTATTCATATTTTTAAAATAGTAAATACAGATGAGAAAAATTATGCCAAAAATTCTTTAATTAGGATGCTAGAAACATGTACAGTGGTACCTTGACTTACGAGTGTCTCAACTGATGAGTTTTTCGAGATATGACCCGTCTCTCGGCCGATGTTTTTGCTTTGAGTTGAGAGCTAAAATTCGGGTTAGGAGTCAGCTTCAGATACCCCACTGCTAGCTGGCGCAGTGAACGCCACAACATCCGCCCAGCCCGTGTCTCACGCGTTCACTTTAAGCGGTTAGCTCGCAGTGGACAGGTTTTTGTCGAAAACCCCTGCAGAGGAAAGTTCAGTTGGAATATCTTCCAAGTGAGGATGCGCAAGTGGCGAATGCTAAAAATGCCCCATGATTTTTCTCCCACTGGCAGCAATGATTACACTACACTGTAATCGCAGCCCCTCAAGCTGCAGCGAGTGCGCAAAACAGCCCAAGCTAGTGACTCCCAAATCTTCCATTGCTCCTTTCATGTTACTCATGTTGTCTCGCACAATTGCCTTTGCTTTTATCAGCACCTCGAAGTCTGAGGTTATCAACCACAAAAGGATGGATTGCCCTGTTCTTGTTGGGGATGTGTTACTTCCTAAAGCGGTGAAAGCAGTTCTTCAGTCAGCAGCTTAACTGTCTCACTTCATTCGAAAATGTCAGGACTACGGCTCCCGCCTGGTGGAACTGGCCAGCTCCCACCGGCTAGGTGACTTCCACGCAGAGAGCAGCCGGGGCTCGGACCTGTCAGACATCATGGAGGAAGAGGAGGAGGACCTCTACTCCGACCCCGTGACTGACAGCCTGGTACCCAGGGTGAGTTCTGCTGAAACCAGTCCTGTTCCACAGCATGACACGTGCATGTCAAACAAATAGAGGTCACTTGAGGTCTCCAGTGGAGATGTGACATGCTTGAGGTCTGCAGTGGAGATGTGACATGCTTGAGGTCTCCAGTGGAGATGTGACATGCCTCGGTGGAGGTACAGAGGGTGTAGCATGTCCCCTGTACAGAGTGGTCTGTACCTGCTTTTGATGATCATCTTTTCTTTTGTGGTTCCTGACTGTAGGCATCCTGAAATCCTTCCAATGAAGTTGTCCATCTTCCTTTAGCCCTCCTGAATGAACATGTCTCATCGATTTTTCTGTCATCATTTCAGTATTTACCTGGCATCTTGATTTGTGTGTGTGTGTGTGTGTGTGTGTGTGTGTGTTCTGTGTGTTCCTTTTCCCCTTTTTCACTGGGCGGTCATTTCTCCTTTTTGTGTGCGTGCAAAATCTAACGCTCTCAACCAAAAAGCATTTTATAAAACGTTGGATAAATAGACGTAGTTTATTGGTGATTTCATATGAGTCATGTTAGTTCTGCTTTTTAACAATTGTGTAAAGTAGTGTTGTTTTTTTTATACAAATCAACTCGGGTGAAACAAAAAATGTACATTTTCAGGGTTTCACGCAAGAAATCAGGGCAAATCTGTATTATTCCATAATCAACCTAAAATTAGCTACATGAAAAGTGTTCGGGTAGTTTGCAAACGTCAGACTATTTACAGGGTAATAAAACTGTTACATACATGTAAATGCATGTACAGACGTTTCGAATTGGAAATCTCACTCCAGACAGGTGACCAAAGTTGGGAACCGTGCGATTTATTTGAAATAAAAAGTAAAACGCACTGTTTTTGACTGAAGCGGCTTGTCATTCCGTTTGCGTTGTTACTCCGACAAATATAAACGAAAATGAGAGAACAATAAGAGCGCCCATATCCAACTGTCATAGTTAGGATTAATTTTACAAGATTATTAAATACTAACATATGACATAAACACGACTGTATTATTGGTTTTACAGCTTTTTGGGGGGGGTGACTGCAGCTCTGCTGCTGTCAGGATAACTGACTGTCGCATTGTTTTTCTGACAGGTGAGCGGTATGCTAATGCGATGGACAATTACAAAAACAAAAGGTGCGATACGCAGAAGTAGGTGCTGCTGGCGATTACAGGAGGTCACGGCGGTTCTCTTGATAATAGGACCTTTTTGTAAACAGTCTCTGACCATGAAATAAGTAGTTCACTTGTAGCTCGGCAGCAGAATCAGTATTTTATTCCCACCACGAATGTAACGTCTTCCTCAGGTTTCACGCCTTGGCTATTTGTGGGGGTCGCCTTGGGGCACTTCTGATTGGTGAGCAGGGTGAATTTGTAAAACTATTATCACGACAGTTTTAAACCCTGGGTCAGGAGTGATGTATGATGCATATCCTAAATCGCAGCCTTCGCGATTTGTTAATCGCATTGTTTCAAAACGCGATTAAATCGTTCAGCTCTAAATAATGCCGTAATGCTTATGGTTTGGTGAAGTCTTTGCCGAGAGCAGGTTGGAACAGAACTGCAGATGTGAAAGGTTAAAGCCCGTTTGTGCCGTCCTCGTGCCTTAGGGAGTCATTCCCCCTCATGGCTTCTCGCATCCCTCCCGGCTGTGAGCCTACTGCGTTCAGCCTCATTCCTAATCGCCTCCTGCAGCTCGCTGTCTGACCCGGCATATCCCTGCTCCCTAACGTCTGCTTGCGTTCTGAAAAGAGGAAGGTGATGTTCCCTTCCTTACCAGACCCGCTGAGGTCGCCACCATGTGCTCCCAAAGCAAGTGCCACACCTCTCCCCTTCCGGTACAAATCATGGCTCTCCAAAAGTACCCAGAGTTGTTCTTTAAAAAGAATGTTGATCCCTCCATCGTCAAGCATATCCTCTGTCCTCCAGGAGTGTGTATCCAAGCTGGAAAGGGTGTGCTTTGGAGTGCTTAACATTGCCAAACCCGTCCTTTTCGTTTGACAGATACATTCCTCGAAGGGTTGCTGTTGTAGTGAGTCTTTCTCATGGTGCCCTTTGCTGTCCGCTTCTCACGGGTGAGTCCGTCTTGCACAGATGGCTGATGCTGTTTATCATTCCTCACCAGGAGTCCCTCCGGAGCTGGGGCCCACAGGTCACCACGGACAGGCATGGGTGGGACGACCAGGTATCGGAGGCAACGGGTGGAGACATAAAGCCAGCTGAAGGTAAGATAGTCACTCAGTCTGACCTGGATGGGTGGGCTGTGGGATTGAGGCCTTGGCAGACAGGCCCAGAGCTGAACTGGGGGGCAGGATTATGGTGACCTGGGATAGGCATGAGTCAGAATCATGGGTCACATTGTCATTCAGAAAAACGCTGCTCTGAATTTTCAAGTAGCTGAGCTCATTTCTGGTGCGTCAACACAGTGGTCTAACACACACATTCACGCACAGTGCGTGTATTCATATCTTTGTGGGGACTTCTCATTCATTTCTATGGACATAACCCTAATCCCAGCTATGACAACCTTAACCCCTACTCAGCCCAAACCGTAACCATAAGTAACCACACAAAATAGGTTTTGTATTTTAATTCTTTTTATTACTTTCGCAGAATTGTATAAAATTGAGGTTATTCTTGTGGGGACCGAAAAAATGTCCCCACAAGGTAAAAAAAGTTACAGATTTTATTGCATTTTGGGGAAATCTGTAAAATTGTCATTACTGCTGCTCAGCAAGATTCTGTTGATAATGGTGACATGCTAGGAATAGTAGCAGATCGTGCTGGTGACAGTTCCCACACTGGTGACAGCAGCAGGATAGAGTTTAGCCTCAGGGGAGCTGAGCATGATGCCATCACTAAAAGGTAGGGCAGGGTGGGGGAGGGGCACCGCTGCCTGAGAGGACAGTGTGTGATGGAGGTCCATGTCTCTATGCCTGTCCATGTGCAGATCTCCCCACACGGGGCGCTGTGGAGCTCAGGGGCGGGGCAGTAGCCGAGCAGCACCCAGGGGACGGCGATGTGCGGCTTTTTGTGGCCCTGTTCCCCTACGACCCAGCCATCATGTCCCCGAACCCAGATGCCATCGAGGAGGAGCTGCCCTTCAAAGAAGGGCAAATAATTAAGGTGCCCCTTGTTGGCCAAAGATGTTTCTGTTTGCTTGTGGTTTCTTCACGGGGGGAGTGTGACATGGGTGGTATTGAAGGTGCCCATCTCTGACAGCCTCCTGATGTTCCTGGTTACATGTCCAGACTCCTTCCTCCTGCTGCTTTCTTCCACAGTCTTGGATGCTCAAGATTCAAGAGTCAAGATTTTTCTTTGTCACGTGCATGAATGTAGTGGTAGAGTAGCAGTGAAATGAAGCTGCTTCAGTTCCAGAGTGTCATCCTCATCATCCTCATCATCGATACTTTATCGATCCCCGTGGGGAAATCGTCTTTACGCCTCCCTCAACTTGCTCTTTGTAGAGTAAGTTGTCCGTGAAGGGCAGCCACCCGTAGCGGCGCCCAGGGAGCTGGGGGTTAAGGGCCTTGCTCAAGGACCCGCAGACGTGCTGAGGCTGGATTTGAACCGGCGACCTTCTGATTACAGGCACACAGGCTTATGTATAAAAATGTATAAGAACAATAGAAAATAGATAAAATAGAGGATAAAGTTTTATGAAAAGGAATGTATTTGAGAAAGAGCTGCAGGTTGCAGTGATAGTTTATTTTAGTTTTAATGGGTTTTGTTACTGACCCTCCTGGCCTGGGGGTAGAAGCGTCCCCTCAGCCTCTCAGTCCCGGCCATAAGGCTCTGGAGGCGCCAGCCTGAGCGCAGCCCCTGGGACAGTGTATGGCTTGGCTGCTGAGTGTCCCTGATAGTACTTAATGCCCTGGACCTACATCACTGGGTGTTTACGGGATTAATTTTACCAGAAGACTTCAGGTCTTTCCAAAGGTATTCAGTCAGATTGGGATCGGGACTCAGGGATGGCCTGTCCACTGTTTCCCGGTTGATCCTCCTTGGTGTGTTTTTGGTCGTCTTTCCTGGCAGATGGTACATGGTGTTGTGATACCATGTGACAAATTTCACTTGCAGTTTCCTCAGAAATCCCCTTGAGGCCTCCAGAGCCCACATTGTAGCACTAATGACTCTGTCATTGCATCACCTCAGTCTTAATGCCATTTGCCAGCAGGTCCTTGTCTTTATTCTTATTGTGTGACGACGATGTGCTGTTGTGTATCTAGTGAGTGAGGGTATATAGACCGAAACTGTTTCCCTGACCTCTTTTCCTACAAGGATTCTCTCATGTTACAGCTGAACGGCAAAGCTGCTGCTGACCTGCCAGTCCTGTACATTTTGAGTTTTCTTCTAGTGCTAATTAATAAGCAGAATTACAGAATACATGTAATAATGTGGTACAACCCTGATGTATATTATGGGCAAAATGAAGGTAAGAAGTGAGCCCTGATGACCAGCGTAGGTGCCGTGTGGTCACTCGTCATCCCCCCCTGAGTGACACAGCGCCCCCTACCTGTTGCCGCCTCTCCAGGTGTATGGCGACAAAGATCCTGACGGCTTCTATCGCGGCGAGTCGGCTGGCCGCCTGGGATACGTGCCGTGCAACATGGTGTCCGAGATCCAGGTGGATGACGAGGAAACGCGGGAGCAGCTGCTCCAGCAGGGCTTCCTGTCTGCCGACGCCTCCATGGAGAAAATAGGTAACTGCCCCCCCCATGCCAGTTCCCTGTAGCACCCCTGGCACCACACCCACCTTCTCTCCCAGCATTCCTACCCTCCGTCTTCTTGGAAAACGTGTCCCTTATTCAGCAGGTTTTGCTAGCTATGATTTTCTAACTATACTTGCTGGCTGTTTATTTAGACCATGGGGTGGGGTCCGAATTGACCTTTTGAGTGGGTCCTCAGAAGTCCCCCCACCCCACCCCACCCCACCACCCTGGCTGCAAGTGCAGCTGGTGTGGCCAACAGGAGTTTTTCTTGGGATTTAGCTCTTAGCCACGTCTCCTCAGGCTCTGCACCAAAAGAAGCCCCCGCAGAGCCCCTGATGTGAATTCTGTCCCCATACATCCCCCGCCACTCACTCACCGATCTCACATTTTCCAGAGCAGAGCTAAAAAAAAATCTGAATCAAAAATAGGTTATGGAAGTGAAAGTCGCCAGCAGGAACCCGCCAGTAAGCCCTAGCTGTTCCGTCCCCGGCCTGCAGAGGGCCTGCTGTCCTGCCTGTGTCAGTAAGCCTAAACCGTGCACCCCCCCCAGCCTGCAGAGGGCCTGCTTTTAGGGGCAACGTGTGGCTCAGTGGGCTAAGCCTGTGTGCCTGTAATCAGAAGGTCGCTGGTTCAAACCCAGCCTCAGCATGTCTGCAGGTCTTTGAGCAAGGCCCTTAACCCCCAGCTCCCTGGGCACCCCAACGGGTGGCTGCCCTTCACGGACAGCTTACTCTATAAAGAGCAAGTTGAGGGAGGCGTAAAGACAATTTCCCCACAGGGATCAATAAAGTATCAATTATTATTATTATTATTATTATTATTATTATTATTCCCACCTGCGTCAGAAAGCCTAAACTGTGCTGCCCAGCCTGCACAGGTCCTGCCCTATCGCCAGCATCAGTAAGTCTAAGCTGTGCCACCTGACCTTCAGAAGGCCTGCCCTCCCACCTGCATCAGTAAGGCTAAGTCATGCCGCCCAGCCTGCAGACAGCCTGGCCTCCCTTCTATGTCAGTAAGCCTAAGGTGTGCCACCCAACCTTCAGAGGGCCTACCCTCCTGCAGGCATCACTAAGCCTAAACTGTGCCATCTGGCCTACAGAGGGCCTGCCCTTCCACTGGCATCAGTAACATGTTCATATCATTGGCCTGCTTAATATGGGGACTAGTGGCTTGGATGCATATTAACATCCCGATATTTCAGTCTCAGTTAAAGAAAATTGACGTCTGTAATGTCATAGGTGTCAGAAAAATTACCCTCCATTTTCTGTGAAGGGAGTCTCACTCTAATTTATATCAGGCCTGCTGGTGCCCCCCCCCCTCCACCTTCAGGCCCCAAACACCAAAAAAAAGCTCCCAAAACCCCCCTGTTAAGCGACAGCCCTGCCCACTGCTGGCCTCAGTTCCATAGCCTTGTTCCATAGCCTTGCCCCGCTTTCTGGAGCTGTCTGAGGCTTTCGCCCTTCGTTACCGACTAGAGATTATCTCATTTGCATTGTCTTTTCGAGGCCTGAGTCTGAGTCCCGCCCCCCCCCGCGCTGCTGATTTGCTGCTTAATTGGGTTTTTGGGCTCTTCATTCTGTCTGTGTTTTTTTTTCTTTCTTTCTCGTCTCGTCTGCTTCCTTGTTCTCCTTTCTGTTTCTGAAATCCCATAAAGGCGCTCGTTCACACGCTCCGCTACCCCGCCGTCCCGCCCCGCCGCCGAAACCTAGGCGATCCAAGAAAGGTGTGTCTCGCTGCCTGCTCTGCCCGTCCCCTGATCCCATCTGCCCCTGTCTGCTGTCTGCCCTTTATTTCGTGTTCACTGGGGAACTGGCGGTGGCTAAGAGAGACGGACCGAAGCAGAGGAGGAGACCTTCCGGAATGATCTGTGTGGCTCTCAGTTATCCTTCAAGTTTGTAATTCGTTACCCATTGATTACTGGTGGTAACGGGAGTGAAGTTAAATATCCAATAAACATAAAAACAGATACAAGTAGAGATGCTAGTTTGATGATGTTAACGTAGCTCATTTGCTATATTATCAGATCTTGCTATATTATAAGATCTGTTACATAAATCACTGACTTGAAGCCAGGCCGATATTTTACTTGCTGACATTTTAGTATTTTATACAGCATGATGCGTGCAATTCTGACATAAGGTATAACTGAGTTTTGGCAATGGTTCAAACATATTGAGTCCATGATTCTAATACAATGGTAAGCGTTAGCGATATGCAACGTTAGCATAGTCTGTAATAGTGGAATTAGTACTGGTATTAAATTGATGTAATGCTGAACAGTTTTCAAAAATGTGGTATCATGGTACCTTTTCAATACCAGTATCCCATACAACGCTTGTCTGCACAAACTGAGATATCTGGTAAAATGTGGGACGATCTTCTTGTCCATGCCCCACAAATAAATAAAAATTGTTGTGTTGCGTACTAAATCTGTGTCATCGTGCCGAATGATGACATAAGTCATGAATTCCATTCTGCTGCACGATAGCGTTTTACTTCCTATATTTTCTTCGACACAAAAAAGTCGCACGGTGATGATGAAATCGTGAAGAGTGACGTGAGCGCAGACCAGTGGGGGAGTGGGGTGGGGGGCCAGTCATGTTGTGGCACAGTGGAGGGCAGCCAGGCCAAGTGTGAGTACGCCTTAAGAGACAGCCGCCCTCCTGGCATTTTCACACTGCAGTGTCTGGAGATTTTGCAGAGGGTGCTGAAGTAAACGGAAATCCAGTCAGTTGCATTTCCGCTGCGGAAACTAGCATGTCAATGAGAGAGGTCAGAAGAGAATAGCCATACTCGTTACAGCTAACAGGAAGGCTACAAGTGCCAAAATATCACAGCCCGAACTTAATAAGCAAAGCTGTCCTGTAGGCGGAAGAGGGTCTTCTGTGGTGCTGGGCCGGCGTACCTAATATAGCAGCCCTGACTGTTGTGGTTGCTATAGCCGCCGCTATAAGTCCTTCTGCTTCGATCATGTGTCTCTCGTCTGTCTGGCCAAAGCGTTCCTCAGTCACCTCCATCCGTGCCTTGGGCTGTTTCTCGTGTGTGCCACTCTGCGGTCCCCAGCCGCTTTCCTTTGGGCCTGTTTGTTTCCTCCTCTCGCGCCTGTGTGTTTGTGTGTGTGTGTGTAGGTGTGAGTGCCTGTCCCGGCTGACCCTAACACGCTGCTCTCTCTTCCAGTGGAATCCGCCGGTGTCTGGGACGACAGTGTAGCCTCGAGTCGAGGTCAGAGGCCATTACCTCAAGCTCACTGCAGCCCCCCCAGGGGGCTGGGTGACGTCCAGGATGATCTAAGACTTTATGCATGATTCTGACTCCCTGTGCTAACCCTGAGACTTTTCTGAAGCATAACTCGATTCTGCTTTGAAGTCTTATAACGGTTCCTCTCGGTTCCCCTCCTGCTTGCATCTGGCCCATCGTGCGATGCATGGTGTACAGTCCAGTCATACTCTGAGGCATAAATCTTATTATTTGTCATTTGATCATCCTGATTTTCTGTCTGCCATTTGCATGATTGTCTGGGGGGGGGGGGGGGGGTTGACCTTCTGCTGTATTCATGTATGGCCATGCATCACTGCCACCCATCCACACCCTGGCATTTCCACATACTGACCCTGCATCGGGGGGGCGGGGGCATCAGCCTCCCCAGTCAGGCAAGCTGTAACCTCGCTTGTAACATTGATTGTAGATAGCAGCCAGGCCACCAGCAGACACCAGAGCAACGGCCCTCGCAGGATGGTAGCCATCTTTGACTATGACCCCAAAGAGAGCTCTCCCAATGCAGATGTCGAGGTGAGTGCCAAGCCTCCCAGACGGCCAGGAGCTGATTAATGGGGTGACGTTTGTTAATGTGAACCCCCTGAGCCCTGCAGCTTGGCTCTGAAGCGACCTTATGACCTCCTCATGGCTATGTGACCATCGCATGACCTCACTCTTGGACTTGTCTGTCTGAGAGACGGTGACCTCTTGTCAAATTTTTGCAGGCCGAGCTGACATTCAGCGCTGGAGACGTTATTTATGTGTTTGGCGACATGGATGATGACGGCTTCTTCTATGTAAGTGCTCTGCAGACCACCAAAGGATAAACTCAGTCCGGAAGCGATTCCCTTCCAATTAATTAATTTATCATCCTATCCTAAGTTAGGGCTGAGTCTTTTCCCCCAGACACACATTGTGCTTTTCCACTTGAGCTGTACTGTGAAGAGAGATTAGTAGCAGCACGGTTCAAGCTCACTTTGGTGTCACACTGCAGAAGGGTGGGATCAATAAGTCTTGCTGGGTTTTGAGAGCAACAGTGACGGAGAATGGAGAAGAGGCGCTTATTTACTGTTCAGACATTGTACATCATGATTTACTATGGGCAATTCTTCTTTTTTTATTGATTGCTAATCTCTGCAACACTACTAATAATGAATAGTAGAGTATATACTATTTCCTTCAGATAATCCATGCGCAGAGCACCGGTATCTCTGTTTCTGCATTCCGATCAATCGAGCACAGCTCAGTTTTGTCACGCTTTTGGTCCTAGTAAGCAGAGCCATGTCAGCGAGGGTATGGCTCAGGTACCCTAGTAAGCAGAGCCATGTCAGCGAGGGTATGGCTCAGGTACCCTAGTAAGCAGAGCCATGTCAGCGAGGGTATGG